AAGTTGAAGTTGCTTATCATTGTTGTGAACTTGTGATAAACTCAACAACGATAGCGTGTGAGGGACGGTGTCAGTTGTGTGTTACCTTTGGGTGTAAAAGGGTTTATTAGGGCTAGTCGTGGACTGTTTTAGTTTTTCACCATTTCACGTTAATAAAACCGTACGGCCATGATATTTTCAGATCCAATTTTTCTTATAAACTTGGTAACTTCTTTTCTACCTATTGTGAATTGCCCGAAAGAGAGAAAGAGGGGTCATCATCATGTAGCGCATAGTTCTGTGCTCCCTACATGTCCTTTCTCTATACGGAAGGGCTAGCACCCAGACTTCCGCCCACAGGAGGCACCCGGACGTCCGGACGCTGCTCCCGTTCAAACGCATCTACCGCGCCCCCGTCCCGTCCCTGTGTAATAGAAGCACGTCCACCGCGCCCACGTAACAGGAGGATCGTTACCCCCGGCGTGCTGTGATAAACAGGAGCACGCCCGCCATGCCTGCCTTACCCCGTCTACGGATGCACGCCGTGGAGGCGTCTGCCGGCCTCAAGCACCCGCTGGGTGACCCACATCGGCGCCCCACCACCGGGACCATTGCAACGTGTGCCCCCTGATCTACTATTAAAACATCTAGTTGAAACATTTGCAATATACGACTGAAAATATATGAAACACTTAAAACATATGCTTGAAATATGCGTATATAGCTATAGCAACATATGCAACATCGAGATCTACTTTTGCAACATCCAGATGAAACACTTGAAACATATGCTTGCAACATGCGTATATTGTCATTGCAACATATGCAACATCCCAGATCTACTTTTGCAACATCCAGATAAAACACGTGAAATATAAGTCTGAAACACGTGAAACACAATGTCGCCGGCGGCCACAACCTCCCTGGTGGGGAACTCCGGTAACCAACAAACTCGAGTCAGAGGGACGTCGAGAGCAACGACTCATACACCCAGGAGAAGCTCCCCCCTTACGTGGACGAGAGAGGTGGATGGGGCGCAGAGCAGGCCTCCTGCCTCCCCTTCCACGACGAGCAAGATGGATGGTGGCGTGGCGTGGGACAGTGGCACGGCGCGGCACGGGATGGTGGCACAGGAGCCAGAAACGGCGAACAAAGATGGGGAGAAAAGGAGCAAAGGATAGATAAAGACTTGCGAAGCGCGCGGGAGAAGGCAGAGAGGAAGGGTGAGCACGTGGGCGACGGGGCCTAAATTGTGTCTGGCCGTGTTGTTCTGTAGGCAGGCCAATATATTTTATACGGTCCACGGTTAGAGGAAGCGTCCGTCCGTCCGGTAAAGAGCATTACCATTCTCGTTACCTTCGCATCAGTTTCGATCTCTCTACTTTCTCCTCTATCCTACTCCTACGTGGAGTGCTATCGGCACCGTTGAGGGTGCCCTGACACGGAATAGCGACCGCAGCAGGGAAAGACACGACGCTATCTGCGTGTTTGCTTTTGCCTCGTCGCACCGAGCCGCTGGCATACAACGCTGTTGGGTTCGCGGCGCGAGACGAGACGACGTCGACTCGTCCGCCATCAAGTCGCTCCCGCGCACACGAATTCCTACAGACTATTCTCAGGAACTCAGGGAGCCTTCCATTGCTCGGAAAATGCCGAACGACGCGGCTGCGGAATGGCCTCATGTACTATAGGCACTCTTCCGAAAACTGCTCTAGTTTTTTCACTTGCTTGCCGGCGAGCCGACCTCGACGTGGACATCTCCAATTGTGACAAGTCTTCCTCCAAGACTGTGTCATGGATGACATCGGCGGTGCCGGGAGGTGCTGCTGTTCAGCTGTTGTCGTGGAAGGGAACAGGACAAGAAAGGTCGGTACCCTCTTGCACGGAAGAAACAAAACACAGAGAGACCTCCAGAGCACGGAAGGAAAGGTGAGGAAGAAAATGGAACTAAGAAGAGCCAGGTTCCGCTGGCGACCAAAAACCTTTTCTCATTCTGTAATTTCTGTGGCCTGGACGAGTACTGGTATTTTTCTAGGAAAAAAATAGGGATTGGCTATATTTCATGTGTCTGAAATATAGACTTTTCTTCATGCGACAGCCATAGAACATAACGTGTATACTATACGAACATCACAAAATACATCATAGAACATTACATGTACACTATGTGTCGGATTCATAAACTCGGGGTCCCTCATGGATCGGCTTCCCAGCGAAGGTTCGGCCCTAGCAGACAACATTGCGAACGACGCGCAACTCGTGGGCCGACCCAAAATACCTAAATGACAGGCTAGAAGGGCGATCCAACCTCCCCCGAAAGGCCTCGCTAAAGGAGGAACCGCACTCGCTTCCGACTTCGACCCGCTTCTCCGACCGAAGGCCTGATCGGAGAGGAACAAGCGCTCGCTTCGACTCGGCCCGCCTCTCCAATCGGAAAGTCTGGCCAAACACGGCCTCCAAACTTCGATCCGTGTCTCCGACCGAGGATGTACCGAAACCCCCGTTTGCAGTTCTTCTCCGACTGGCGCAGTCAGAGCTGACTGGAACCAACCGACTGGGGACGCCCGCTCGGTGAGGACCAGGAAACGGACGAAGCAAGTAAGACAGGGCACTCAAATCAACTGCAATACCGAGAACCGTACCCTGTACATCTACAGGACCGTACCCTGCAAACCTTCCTGGCATGTCAGAACCCAAGCAGTGTTGTTGGCGCCGACATTTTCCCTATAATGTTATGGGCGCCATCAACCCCCGTACCAGACAAACACGGTAAGGCTCCCCCCACATGCCTCTGGGTATCAACAGTGTTGTGGGCGCTGGCATTTATCATACCATGCGAACATGGTAAAACCCTCTATATGCATATGTGCATCAACAGTATGACAGGCACCGACATCTGTCATACTAGAAGAAGACGACGCAGCCTTCCACATGCATCTGACATTAACAGTGTTATGGCGCCTACAATCATCTTGTACCCGACGACGTGGGCAACAAGACTTAGCATACTTACTCTCTCTCTCTTGTAAGGTCGTCCCTTCATCTATAAAAGGGGATGCGCTCTCTCCCAACATCGATAGATCCATGAGTTCACCTACATCAATTCAACACACAACAACAGAACCACCAGGTTCAGACTTCGAGCACACGTTCAAACACTTAGCGCATAGCAAAGCTCCCGTCGCTCTCGGCCCTTCAGACCAGAGCCCGACCGAACCTCTTGTACCCCTATCTTTCTTCCTTCCGTTTATAACCCCACAGTAAAATTTGAGCACCTGGGCTCAGAATAAAGTCACCAATCGACTCAAACTGGACGTAGGGCACGTTGCCTGAATCAGTATAAACCCTGTGTCATTGAGTGTTAGGCCACATCCGATCACAACGTACGGCAAAACTATAAATATTTACGTGTCGGTCACTTTTCTGCACCGACACAACGCCAACATCACAACACGTTCGGCTCCGAAAAGCGAACACAAATTCAGGCGACTGTCGTGTTTACGTGAACGTTGCAAAATACATCATAGAACATCACATGTATACTACGTGAATATTGTAAAATACATCCTAAAACATCGCCTGCACAGCAGACACAAAATTCAGGCGGATTAAATATAGGAAATGTGAAAAAATATTCTCTCTTTTTTTTCTAGAGAAGGCAGGATTGGGATAATGTGCGGTGGTCCTATTGTTCCGAGTTTTGACTGTCTCCTGTAGCTGCAGATCCAAGGACGGTCAATTCATTGGTTCCTGTTCACTTCATCCGCTGCGGCAGAGAGCAATCCAGGTAGACCGTACCGTAGACCACACCCTTTCGTCCAGTGGGCCCACGGCCACACGAGCAGGTGACCCCACCGGTCATAGACCTCCAAGGCTCCAAGTCCAGGCTCTTCCAGCTCTCCCTCAGCCTGGGACCACACCGTGCAGGCGCCGTGCCCTCTTGTCCGGCACCGGCACCTCGACACGTGGCGCGTTCCTGGTGGCCCGGCGTCGTGTTCTTTCTACGTGAGGACACGAGAGTCGGCGGCGACGTCCGGCTACTTGCCGATTCTGTTTTCTGTGACGGCCGCCACTTTTCCGTGCCTGTCTCGGTGTCTCCCTCCTCTCCTCGTCTCGCCTCCACGCCTCCGCCTCCCCTCGCCTGGCCTTGTTGGGCCTGCCGTGGGCCCCACCCCGTGCTCCTTGCCACTGTCATGTGGGGCAGTCCATTTTGTAGGGGAACACTTGTCAGGCGCCTTGGCGTGAGTCGCCATAGGAAGAGGAGGGCTCAAAAAGTTTATGTGGACTGACGAGGACGTGGTGGTGAGTGGTGAACAAGCTCCCTTCTCGTTCTCGCATCTCGCCCTCACTCTCTTTTCAGAGAGGGCTTTTGCAGTTTGCACTCCAGAGGCCAGAGCCTAGACTGATTTCAGGTGAGCACGCTCGTGTGCGGTTTCTGAATACAGCTTTCTATTTGATTCTTTCCTCTGCTACCTTAATCTTCTCTCTGATGGCCCAAACGATTGGAGTCGAATGGCTCAAAGCTGGATCCCTTTGATTTCTTCCTTTTCCGGGATTTGGGTGGTAAAGGTTTTCAGATGAACGGAGCTCTAAGATTTCATAAAGATCATTAATTTTCCCCTTTAGACGCCATGCGGAAAAAAAATGAACGAAATCATGTGTATATCTTTCTTTCGGCTCGTTGTTGGCAGTGGTGGAACGCACTTATTTGGTATTCATATTTCTTCAGTCTTGCAGAGATTCTCAGAATCACATACTAGTTTCGTTTAGTCTTGGAAGGGCAAAATGAAGTGGCTGGCAGCATATTAGCTGTTTTAAAGAACAGTGCAATAACCAGCACACAGGAATATCAAATACTCCTGTATTTGAGACGAATTTATTTGCCTCTACTTTTGCTTTCTCTCTCTTGTGGTAGTTATTTATTTCAGCTTGTACTTTCTGAATGTAACTGCTGTAAGTAAGTTATGTAATTTTCAGTTAACTTTTCCCCTTTCACGGTCAAAGCAGGGGGCGCATAGTTGATGGAATGCCTTGAGTTGGATTGTTCTGATTTCTTCCTGGACGACGATGCGATCGACTTCCCATTGGAGATCCATCTTGAGTCCAACAGTTCGGCAGGCGCCAAAGCTGCGCCGGATCCTAGCCGGCATCCTCAGCTTCATCGCAGCAACGCCCCTGATCCACCACCGTTGCCTGGAACCTCTTATGACGCGCGGAGAAGTTCTAGGAAGGCGAAGGCTTGTCGCCGCGTCCCTGAAGGCGTCGTCGATTCCTGGGACAAGCTGTTCTTGCAGGGATACCAATCTGATCTCCGTGTTTCGACAGACGATGGCACTGAAATTCTGTCACATTCCTGTGTTCTTGTGAGTACAGCTCTCTTAATCTTTTCCTGTGATTGCCTCTCGTATTACAGGAACATAGCAGATTTGGCCTTATGTAAGGCCTTCGTATTTTCCTCTTCTGCAGAGTGTCAAATCTCCTGTCCTGAGAGCTATGCTGGAGGAAGCTAAATTGAAAGATGGTTTTCGGCGCATCCGTATTTCTGGCGCACCTGCAGAAGCAGTCCGTGTTTTCATCAGATTTCTTTACTCTTCACGGTATGGTTGGTATTTAGTCATTTGTATAGATAATTCACTGTTCTCTAAAGATCAGATTTCAGCCCAAACAGTTTGCAGTGACTGAAGCTGAAGACAGTGCATAATTTTTTTTTCTTCTGATGTGTGCAGTTTTCAGTAAGAAACAAACGCTCTGATTTATGTTGTTTTTTTGTTGGTGAAGTTTTGAGCAGGAACAGATGAAGAAGCACGTTCTGCATTTGCTTGTACTGTCCCATGTTTTCTCGGTGCCATCTCTGAAGACGGTCTGCATCGACCAACTCGAGAGGAGTTTCCTTGCTCCTGACAACGTGGTAGACATGCTGCAGCTTGCCAGATTGTGTGACGCGCCCCGTCTATCGCTCGTCTGTACCCGAATGATCATTGGGGATTTCAAGACCATCTCTCTGACAGATGGGTGGAAAGTAATGAGACGGGTCAATCCAAGTATGGAACAGGAGTTGCTCGAGTCTCTTGTCGAAGCCGATACAGTGAGTTCTCTGTAATGGTTATATTAGTATTGTTTGATCATTTCCAACCCTGCCTTGCTAGTTCTTAGTATTCAGTAGCAAGAAGAGAAGGAAAGGAAATGCCCTTAATGATTCAGAGTTTCAGTCTGTCTGCTTAGAGTTTCAGACAGTTCAATTCATAGTTTGTCTGAACTAGCACACAGCGCAGAACAACTAAACACTTGCACGTTTCTGCAGTTCCAATGCTTGTAGTTGTAGTGGTTTGAAACCTTTGTTTGATAGTCTGAATTGATGCAGAAAAGGCAGGAAAGAGCTAAAAGGATGGAAGAGAAGAAGGTCTATCGGCAACTGTACGAAGCAATGGAGGCGCTTGTCCACATATGCCGAGACGGATGCAGGACGATCGGGCCTCGAGATCAAGCGCTCAATGGCAGTCTAGCAGCTGCCTGCAAGTTTCCGGCATGCAAGGGTATCGAGCTGCTCGTGCGCCACTTCTCGACCTGCAGAGTTCGGGTGCCTGGTGGCTGCGCCAAATGCAAGCGAACGTGGCAGGTCCTTGAGCTGCATTCTCGCATGTGTTTCACCCCGGACACCTGCAAGGTTCCTCTCTGCAGGTGAGCGCGGCAAATCTTTTGTTATTCTGTTTGCTTCTACTACCAAACAGTAGCAATTTTACCAGAGCGGAACTGGGGGAGAGAATGTTCTGACGTTTCTTGCTTTCATATAACAGAACACTGGTTTTATAGAACTTGTTTTACAATTTGCAGGCATTTTAAGGAGAAAATGCGGAATCTGGGGAGGAAGGAAGAGACCAAGTGGAACCTTTTGGTGTGCAAGGTGCTGGAGAGCAGAGGAACCATGGGTTTTATGCCTGAAAGGAGAAAAATTTCGTCAAGCCTAATGCCAGCTGGGAGTTGCCACGTGGCTCCTCTTATAGGACCTATTTGAAACACCGAAAGTTCGCAGGGGTTTTATGTTACGGGAAGGGGACCAGTACCATGAGGACTGGAGCCGGAATCAAAACGTCAGAACATCCTTATAAAAAAAAGTCAGAACAGTTGTTGGGTTGCGTGATATCTATTTTCACCATCCATCTATAGTTCAAGTAAATTTTTTACCACAATACTATTAGTATTGAATTTTTTTGGCCATCTAGCTAGTTCAAACGGTGGTTTTATAGTTTCTAAAAATGATAAACATTAGCTTATTTAAAAAAAACTAATTTATTTTAAATAAAAAAAATCATGGAACCGGTACAAAGCACATTTTCAAGAATATAATATGTCTATTGGTGCTAGATTAGAGTTCTTTATATCTCATTTTGTAGTTGTCCTAGTGCTTTGTTGCTTATAACTTTGCCCATTACTAATTTAGATTATCATTTTGTGCAACATTAAAGTTAGAGATAGACTAAGAGAATACATACTTAAAATAGACTACCAGATATGTTCGATTAAATTAAATAAATTATTTTTGGATGACTAGCAATGCCATACTAGTTGCAACGGCTAAATATGATCAATATGTGGTGGAGAATGGCATCTGTGAGGCTGGTATTGTCTTCTAGATCTTTTGTTTACTCATAGTATGTTATGGATTCTCTCGGTAAAAAAGCCACAAATGGAAGAAGTCATGAAAAGGAGAGGATAGGTGTGAGGAAGTAAAGCAAACTAATGTACATAGTAAGGAAGAGGTTCCTATCATCGTTGCGGTGGAAAATCTGGCTGTCCACCAAACATAAGATGTGTGCGGAGGTAGTAGCCTTTAGAATTGTGGTGGACAACGCATGAGCGAGTTAGGGTGGAGGGGCATAGGGCAACATAGAAGTTAGAGCAACAAGGATGAAGACAAGAGAAGAGGAGAAGAGAGGTGTTGAGCGAAACCGAGAGATGGGGGAAGGGTGGTGGCATGATGTTGAGAGGCCAATGCAAGAAGAGGCAAAAGAGGGACAAACAAAGAACAATGGTACGGATGGCCGATGAATGAGGTGAATGAGAATATTTAGGGCATATAAATGAATTCATGTTTTTAGGAGATAGGCAATGGAGCGATGTTCGATGAAAGCAGTCATTTATATCAATACTCCAGCTACGACACTATAAGAGCTATGTTCTCACCGGGGTTTTTTCCTAGTAGTGCCCAGGCTGTGTCCTGGCTATTCAAAAGCCTCACACGTGGATGTGCCATAATGGTCATGGTGACGTGCCCGTCACGTGCGAAACCTGGATGACTTTAGATACCTCTCAGCCACGTGCAGCCTCTTCGTATAGGTGCAAGTCTAGCTTGCGCACTATGTGTGTGTGTGAGCGTGTGTGTGGTGGTGTGAGTTAGTGCGTGAGGCATCAAAAAAATCAACGTAATTTGTTCCAACTCATAAGTTAGAATAAGGTATTCTTGGTAAATGGATAAGTCCTTCAAAGCACCAATCACATGACATTAATATCTACCAGTAGAGTCAAAATAGGGTAAATGCAAGATCTCTCTACACTTAATGGAGGAGTTCCATACATCATTTTTTTATCCTATGATATATCCTAAAATTCCTAAAATACTTTATATTTCAGGATGGAGGGATCATAAGCTTCATAGGCTATTTGGGAAAGGACGTTGGGAATAGGGACGAAAACAAAGAGAAAAGAATCCCAACTCAGCCCTGCCTTTTACTTTTGTCTCACTCGTTTCTGTATTTGCCATCATATTTTCATATTTACGAAAATGGAAGAGGATTTCTCTGCCCTGTTTTTGTGAAATCTCGTTTTCATATGGGATCAACCCGTTTTCATCCCATGCAGGATATGCCTAACAATTGCATGTCCTTATATTATGTTAATACATCTATTAATCACTAATTATACGTGTTAACATGTTAACACACATGGCATGCAAGTGAATATTAGACCAATCTTCATAAATGTATATTGTTGTGTGACTTTATACATGCATACTTGAGAATATTAGATCAGGTGATTCTGACTTAATGCTCTGTCTCTATGTCTGTCGTGTGTTGTGTATCCTGATTCCGTAAATGATAACGGCTTCTCTGAACCCTATCCTATTTTTCCCAAAATATAGAAATGGAAACAAGAGGGATTTTTTCCGCCTGTTTCCATCCATTTTCATCCCCGTTGTGTCTTATGACAAATAGTCACGATTATATAATGGTACTAGACACATTTCATCGTTGGCGGTATGAACTAGCCAATATCATGTTTCTCCAATGTCGCACAACAAAAATTTCCTTAAGGAATCACCTTCAAGGCTTCAAGATCTACCTTTGAAGTTTCTCAAGAGCATTGCATAGAAATCCAGTGCATAGACATATATGAGCACGTGAGAAGTAGAAGCCATGAGTTCAACCAATTACTCCCTCAAGACACCAAGAACCAAACACCTGATGTAATCCCTCAAAATACCAAACACCCGATGTAGAAGTGATCTCCAAAGATGCACTCCCGCAACCTGATGATCAACAAGGGATCATAAGCATAACAAAGAAAAAATAGAAGATCATATTCATGCCGATCATATTCTAGCAAAGATGAGCAACAAACAAAGAGTATAAGAAAGATAGAGGAAGATTCAGCCAAAATGTATCAAAGGGAATTTGACATAATTATAGAAAATATTTTCAAACTATATACAAATAAGTTACAAATTGAGCAGGAAAAGAACTCATTTCTAAGATTAATCCTATAAAAAATCAGAATATATCGAACCCATGCCCTACACAAGTAAATGGGTGATCTCGTACAATATCCTCCTACACAACTCACATTGCAGATTTCCATATCTTCAGTCAACTTTAGAGTCAGCAATTATCCACAACAATTCACATCTTGTGTTGGGAAGACCATGAAGTATATCTGCTAGGCCTCTCCATAGAAAAGGCCCAAATAGGTGCTACTGTAGTGTCATGTAGAAGTATATGGGTGTAGGGTCGAGATGGCGGACTAGAGGGGTGAATAGTCCTTTCTAAAATTAAACGCGTCGACTAACCGAAAACAAATACGGAATTAAAACTATCGGTCTAGCCAAGACTACAACCCTCTATCTATGTTCTCAAGCACTTTATAAAAGATCTTAATTAGGCAACAAAGGTGTCGGGCTAGTTAGAGCTCACCTAAACAATTCTAGTAACAAGGTCACATAAACCTATACAACTGGTACTTCAAGCATTGAGGGAGCTCCTACACAAACTAGTAAGTAAAGCACAAAGCTCCTAAGCTCACTAGCAATGCTCAATAACAAGGCTACACAAGCCAAATTAGAGAGCGCAAATTACTTAGCTACTCAAACTAAGCAAGACAACTAATTTACTACAAAAGTAAACTAGCACAAGCATGATATATGAAATATAAATACAAGCTTGTGTAAAAGGAAATGCAAACCAACGGGAATATAAGGATGACACGGTGATTTTTATCCCGAGGTTCACTTGGTTGCCACCAAGCTAGTCCCCGCTGTGTCGACCGCTCACTTGGTGGTTCGGTGGCTAATAGGTATTTCACAAACCTAGCCCACACATTGAGCACCGCAAGAACCTAGCTACAAGTGAGGGTAGCTCAATGACATGCTCTACTAGAATTGCTCTTCGCTGTTTCCGCGGAGCGAGCACAATGCCCCTCACAAATCTCTTCTTCGGAGCACCACACAATCTTCTTTGCGTGCTTTGACGGAGATCACAACCTCTAAGTTGTCCAGGTGATGGCTGTAAGGAAAATGGACCCTTGCCCCATTTACTTTGGATTTTGGTGTTTGATGACCAATACAACCAAATTGGACTAATAAATTTGCAAGTGTTTATTTTATAGTTCAATAAGGTGCAAGACGTGACTTGGATGAAGGCGAAGTGGTGATCCGATGATCAACACCTTAAGAAAGACCTTAGAAGCACAAGAGAAGACCCAAGATATCAAGCAAAGTCTAAGCACGAAGATTGGAACCAAGCCGTACGCAAGATTACAAAGAAACGAGCTCACTGAGGTGACCGGCCGCTGGACAAGCGACCGGACGCTGGGTAGAGGACTCGGCAGACAGGCGACCGGACACTGGACCAGACGCTGGCGGCAACCGATCGAACGCAGGACAGCAGCGTCCGATCGAGTACAGTAAGGTTCTAGAGCGGCAAATCTGCAACCGGACGCGTCCGGTGGCAGGCGACCGGACGCTGGCCAGCGTCCGATCAGTATATTGCTGGCTCAACGATCGGGACGACCGGACGTGTCTGGTCAGGATGATTCAGCGTCCGGTCAGTAGCAGTTTCGTGAGAATTCGACCCCAACGGCTACTTTCTCAGTGGGGCTTATAAATACAACCCCCAACCGGCCATTTGAGAAGTGTGGAGCTGAGGAAACATACCAAGAGTGTTGATACACCATTTTAGTGATCTCCACTTGCATAGTGCTTAGTGATTCATCAGGTGATTAGCATAGGTGCTTTACGAAGTGCTTAGGTTGAATAGACCACCGCTTATGCGCTTACTCTAGATTTAGGCCTAGTGTTTAGTGAGGTTTACATACCTCTTACCACTTGGTGCTTGTGCGCACCATTGTTGTACATCGGAGGGGCTTGTAGTCTTGCGAGATCACACCAACCATATTTGTGGTGTGGCCGCCACCGTGTACCGGAGAGAACAAGGCCCACGATGTTTTGGCCAGAAGCTTGATAGTGAAGACGGTGGGGAGCATCCGGGAGAGGCTTGCCGAAAGGCATGTCGGAGACCCACTTGCGCGTGGAGAAGGCCCGAGGCTATCCACGGTGTTACCCGACCGGGAGCTTGGCCTTTGCGAGGGGCTCCAACGAGGACTAGGGGAAGCTTGCGCGCTTCTCGATACCTCGGTAAAAATACCGGAGTCGTCGACGGGAGTTTGCATATCTCTACCTTGCTCTTTAGCTTCCGCATTTACTTTAATTGTATTATTCCTTTTGCGGTAGAGATAGCAACACAC